TCTATGTCGAGGAAGGAGGATGGGAAACTAGCGTGGCTGGCAGCTTTAAGACTCAAACACCCTCCAAAGAGAATTTATGTTTGCTCCTTTCGTTTTATCGATAAAAAGCCCACAGAGCAACACCCCGACCCGGAGCTTTATCTGGGCTATGACCACCAAAGAAAAGAAAGAAAGAAAAGAAGAAAGCTATTGGGGCTCAAGAGTTGGGAGTTCGCCTTGTAATCGGAAGGTTGCCGGTTTGAGCCCCGGCTTGGACAGTCTCGGTCGTTGTGTCCTATGGCAAGACACTTCACCTACCGCCTACTGGTGTTGGCCAGAAGGGCCGATGGCACGATATGGCAGCCTCGCTTCTGTCAGTCTGCCCCAGGACAGCTGTGGCTACAAATGTAGCTTGCCTCCACCAGTGTGTGAATGTGTGTGTGAATGGGTTGATGACTGGGTGTGTAAAGGGGTCCCTAGGGGGGACTACTAAAAGCGCTATACAAATACAGGCCATTTACCATTTACTCACTTGGACCACTTTGAGTGTGACAGCTTCCAGTAACACGAACAAAAACACAGAATCTGTACCCGGTGTTGTGCCAAAAAGTGATTGTCTGCCAAAAACTGATTTCCGGTATTTGCCAAAAAGTGTTTACTCGTTTTTAAACAAGTAACTTGTTGGGCTATAATATGTGAAACATATGTCAAATGCATCCCTAATGGATGACACAAAGTCATACTGAGCCACAAACAACATTCGTGTAACAAGGTAGAAGGCGCAATCAGCTTTTGGCAGCGACTTTTATATAACCTTTATTTATGCAGTTAAAAAAATGTCATTAACATTAAAAATGTCTTCTGTAAGAGTAAGTTGGCCAAGAGGACAGCAGAAATGGCAGCAAATATTACAATAGTTCTGAAAAAATATGTTAAGTGGGATAAAGGACCGGATTGGTTATAATGTAAGTACAGTAACACAGAGTTGTAAAGATACTTGAAAAAACAGATAATTTTTGAGTTCTATATACAACCCCTTTGTAAATGCTGTTCACCGAAGTCTATTTACCAACATATGTAAAGATATTACACATAAAAAATACACAGAAACTAGGGCTGCTCGATTATGGCAAAAATGATAATCACGATTATTTTCACTGAAATTGAGATCTCGATTATTTGACGATATTTATTTAACCCTTTAAGACCTACTATAGAACCAAGTCCGCCAGAGCTTATATTATATTTTTACATGCTGTAGTGCCATTTGTGGGAGCATTTCAAGTTGCTATACAACTGTTATAGCCCATATTTTAATAATATGTATGCATTAAGTCCATAGTAACTACATTAATTGCAAAAAAGTGCAATAAACTACAAAAAAAATTGAAAATCGTTTTTTGTATATTTTACATATATTTCTACTTGGAGAAATTTAAGAGGCTTATCCCTCAAAGCTTTAAATACAAAAAAGTTGCAAAAAATAGTTTACAATAACAGGAAACTTATTTTGAGTGTCTTCATAGTTTTATTTTGGAGATACACCAATTTTTATATACTGCAGGAAAAACAAAAAAACAATCCTATGATGCAAATTTGCAAAGAAAACAGCAGGTGCATTAAAATAAACTATTTCCAGCAGTGCAATTCGAGTTCTAAGCATCCCAGAAACTATTCAGAAAAATCAAACATGACCAATATAGGCTTTTAAGGCCTACAAGTAAAAAACTACAATTTCTGCGAAAATGACGTCACTTCCGGTTTCGGCCAGGAAATGGCGGACATGTGATAGTTCGCGCTGACCTCTGTTTCACTGTGGGAAGTGTTACGAACAGCTGATCGGATCGGCAAAGCGTGTTTCTGGAATATTATGTTTTTGTTCCTGCAAGCGCTTTTTATGCAATTTTTGCAAAGCTTTATGTGGAAGGCAACCGTGACCGAGGGCAAGCTGATGGCACAACATGTAAGTACAACTCCTCCGGTTTCATATGCAAAACAAATTTTTGCGCTAGCTTACACGGTTCAGGGTTCTTCAGGGATTTAAAAAATAGTTACACAAAACGGAGCGTGCTGCTCTGACCGGCTTTAAAGGGTTAACAATGACTTTAAAAAATAATATAAAATAGTGTGCAACACCACTGAAGTTTTTTTTTACCTGTCTTTTCAGCCAACGGCAGTCACTCTCCTCTCCAAATAACTTCTGCTTAGCTTTCCGAGCTTCCCTCGGGTGCTCTTAATCAGCGGTCTCCAACCTTTTATGCGCCACGGACCGGTTTATGCCCGACAATATTTTCACGGACCGGCCTTTAAGGTGTCGCGGATAAATGAGGGAGGGGCTAATAATCGGCTCAGTCATTTTTAATGATCGTTGAAAGCCCAGATCGTAATCGTGATTAAAATTAGATTAATTGAGCAGCCCTAACGGAAACATTGGAAGTCAGTTTTAGGCAGGCGATCATCTTTTGGCACAACACCGGTAAGTGAAAGTCTAAATGTGGTTTGCCACAGTTTCACATTTTAATCACACAAATTAATCACGAAAATACTTTTTCTAAATAATAGCCTATGGTGAATGGCGTTAGTATCAGCACTAGCTGGTTATTAGCAGCAAAGTCTCAATTTTAATGAAAGTTTACACCCATGGTTAGTAATTAACACCAGCCACATGCTGCCAAAACTATATATGGCTTCATTTAATTGTCCCAGAGAGATTAGCCCCAAGGGCTGTAAAGGTCTTAGGTTTGTGTTTATGCAGAACATGTTAACAGAGTTATTAGAGGCAATTATTTTATCATTCATTTAAAGCGCTTGCAACTGCATGAAAACTCAGGTAAAAATTTTAAAGGCAACCTTTGCAAAAATACCAACATTTGTGACTTTTTTTAGAATGAAAAAATGGTTTATGATATTGCACTGTAAATGAAACATGCTCACTAGGTGTTCAGATCACAAGTGTGGCAGTCTTGAGCCCTGTGCAAAACATTGTAAGTTGCACTTGCATGTAATAGCCTCTGCTGCCAGTTTTCTGCAGCTGCAGCTCTCCATCTACCAGTTTGATATCGCTGCATTTCTGGGTAAGCTACTCCGTGATTGAAGAATAAGTTGGCACAGGACATTTTATTTCTTGAAGCACATCTGAGTCAATGACCCCGTCAGGACTCGCAGAGAGCCATGGCTCCTGGATGCTGATAACACTACCCATGTGAAGGATGTTCATACCCTGTTCTTTCAGCTGATGACAAGCTCTTCATTTTATTTACCATAGTTTGTTTCATAATTCCCACAAAAAGAAGGATACATGTGCTCAGATAAAAATTTGTCATTTTTTGTGGTGGCACGTACTGGAACTTTTTTTAGCAGAGCTTGCTGTAAGTCTGAGTTTCCTACAGTTGTGCCACAAATCAGATGCACTTTGCTCTTTTGTTTCTTCTTGTAATTGTTCTGCTTGCTTTTCAGAAACTTGAATATATGCCTGGTAGAATGCCCTGCATGGAATACAGCTTAGTTTGTAAGTGCTTATGTGCTTGGTGTGGCTGAAAGAATTACTCATCAACTTAACTGTTGCGGTGAGGACCTGCAGATGGCGAGGCACTGTAACACTTTCCAATCAATGTGTTCTTGAGGAGGAAAAGTCGCTCCACTTGTGCTTTGCTAACGCTGTCAATAAAGTCTTGATGTGTAAGGTGATATGGTGGGTTAGGGAGAGTTTGTGTCACTGCAGTCCGGGAGTTCACATCGTACTGCTGCTCTGCCCTGTGATGTCTGAAGTTTATCTGGCTTAGACGTTTAGGTTCAAGGTTCTTTGCTGTCCCTGCATTCCACCTGCGTTGCTCATCTGTACATGCAAGCCTGGCCTTTCCACTGATCACAGAATTCTGCACCTTTAACAAACATTAATAGTTAGTACTACTAATCCAAAATACTCAAAGCTTCATAAAACTGAAACAAACATTTATTTTTAGCTCCATTCTGCTGCTGATACATACTTTAGGTTTCTGAATATTAAACTTGTTGTTGCCTTTCATAGTGTGTAACTTGAAGGTAGGGCTGGGCCGTTCACAGTAATGCATTGTTAGGCAACAATAAGAAAATGAAATATCGCGATAGAATATGGGTAAAACGCGCATGCACAGTGCCTTTGTGTTCATACACACATGGCCGAAAAAGCACGGCGGCAGCGTTGAATGAGAACCGGAGGAAAGTGGATTGTTGAGTGAAACGGATGAATCAGAATTGGTTTGTAAAAATGGTGCCACTTGACTGGTTTTGTGTTTGTCAGTCAGATACACAACAAAGCACTTTTTTTTTGTAGAACATACAAGCGGGCCATCGTTATTCCCGGATTTGTCCGACTAAGGTGCTCGCAAATCTGGGAATAATCTGGGTCCTAAACCATTTCAGGTCCCAAAGTTAAACAAACACTGCGGCATCACTGAGAGTTTAAAACTGTCTAAATTCTTTCATCTTTAATAAAAAGATCAGCATTGGTGCTTTACCAGGTGTAACTATGAAGTTTAACATCCAGGCATTCATGAAAACAGAATTTATTACATTTAATGCGGTAAACGAGTTAGCAGGAGGTTAGCTTGCTAGTTTTGCTAGTTACCCAAGCATGATATAGCATGTTCTGACTGCGAGATTTCTGAATAAATTCTAACATACAGCTGTTGTGTGATTTTTGAAATGTTTTTTGAAAACCTCATTACCATCCACGGGGAGCTAGGATGGTAATGAGGTGCTTGGAAATGTTGTAGTTGGCTGAGTTTATACTGCTACCAATGAGTCTGAGCGGGACTCCTTTGTGGAACTATGTAATATTGACATATATACAGGGTGTAGCATCCCCTGGCTAAAGGCGGTGACATACAGGACAGTCAGTGGCTTTTTACCTTTCAAGTTCTTGTATGCAACTGATGACTTTCTATTTGTAGTTGCTTCTGGGGTTTTACCTTGAAGCTTTATAGGTACTGTTGTCACTGAGGAGTGTAGTAATGTTTATTTGCTCTGCTTCTTTTTGTCAGGGATAAAATACGTCTAAATAGTTTTTGTGTCCCAGCTGAGTAACAGGAGGACAAGAGTCTGGTGGTGCAGCATAGGAACAATTTCAGCCATTTGGACTCAGCTCAGCCACTACAGAGGAAACAATGACTTCAATACAGAAGGTGAGAAAAGTATCACAGTTACACTGTTATTGAAACTGTGTGCACAGCTGGTTGGTTTTTAAAACACGTTAACAGCAGCTTTATCTTTTCCATCCTGGGCTCCTCCATATATACAGACTCTACATTCACAACCAAAAACCACTGAAGTTAGAAGAAAATACAAAGATCATATTTTATCAGCACATATTGAAACAACAATATCATCTGTTGAACTCAAAACTTTTTATGAAGTAAAAGATTTTCTCCACTTATCAGTATTTCTTCAATAATGTCATTTTCATTACAACTCTCATTGCACATCATTGTAATGTGACACTATCACCAGAAGGTGTTGGAAATACACCAACAATGTGTTTGTTGTCACATTAAATTCCACTAATGGAGGGAGTTACAGTTTGTTCCACGACTGCATTTCACTCACTGCCTCTGTTTGTATCTCTGTCACTGCAGGACCAACGTGAGGCGGAAAAACAGTGCTCTCAGGAGGCCGACAAACCTCACAGAAGAAAGGGAGAGAAAACATACAGCTGTGATGAGTGTGGGAAGGATTTTACTCGGAATGACGGCCTAAAAATACACCAACTCATCCACAGTGGAGTTAAACCTTACAGCTGTGGTGAGTGTGGAAAATCTTTTACTCAGGCTGGAAGCTTAAAAAAACACCAACTCATCCACAGTGGACTTAAACCTTACAGTTGTGACTTGTGTGGAAAGTCTTTTAACCGGGCTGGAAGCTTAAAATTACACCAACTCATCCACAGTGGAGTTAAACCTTACAGCTGTGATGAGTGTGGGAAGGATTTTACCTGGTCTGAAAGCCTAAAAAGACACCAACTCATCCACCGTGGAGTTAAAGCGTACAGCTGTGACTTGTGTGGAAAGTCTTTCACCGAGGCTGGAGGCTTAAAAAAACACCAACTCATCCACAGTGGAGTTAAAGCGTACAGCTGTTACTTGTGTGGAAAGTCTTTTTCACGGGCTGGAGGCTTGAAGACGCACCAACTCATCCACAGTGGAGTTAAACCTTACAGCTGTGACTTGTGTGGAAAGTCTTTTACCCAGGCTGGAGGCTTACAAAGACACCGACTCATCCACAGTGGCGTTAAAGCATACAGCTGCGACTTGTGTGGAAAGACTTTTACCCAAGCTAAAGACTTAAAATCACATCATGTCATCCACAGTGGAGTAAAACCGTACAGCTGTAACTTGTGTGGAAATTCTTTTAGACGGGCTGGAGGCTTAAAAAAACACCAACTCATTCACAGTGGAGTTAAAGAGTACATCTGTGGCTTGTGTGGTAAAGCTTTTGCTCAAAATGGCCACTTGCAGAAGCATCTAGTTACCCACTCTGGAATTAAGGCGTACAGCTGCGACTTTTGTGGAAAAACTTTCAACGACAAACACAACCGAAATAGTCACCTACGGATTCACACTGGAAATGATGTTTACTGCTGTGATCAGTGTGGGAAACTGTTTGCAACAGACGCACAGTTAAAACAACACATGTTTATCCACACTGAGGAGAGACCTTATAAATGTGACCTGTGTGAGAAGACTTTTAAATCTCCACATCACCTGAATAAACACCAACAGATCCACACCAGAAAGTAACTCTACAAGTGCAGTTACTGTGAGATATGTATTTGATTTTTTTTATCCTGTAATTCTAACCTGATTATTTGGAACAAGTCTCATCAGTAAACTCCACAGAGTTCAGATGGAATCTGTAGTTTTTATTAGAGATGGCACGATACCACTTTTTTATGTCCGATACCGATACCGATATCATAAATTTGGATATCTGCCGATACCGATTTGAATCCGATATAGTGTTTTTTAATCAACAAAACTGTTTTTTAAATATCTTGCTGCATTTTGTATAAGTTCATACTCAAGTTTAAAACAACAACTATACTAAAGCTATTCTGTTATACCTCAATGCAAAAAAAAAAATTTCATAGTTCAGCAATACTGATCAATCTAATAAACTTAAACCTACACCATCCTCCCTATTCTGGTATTTTAAAGAGTACTTAGCATAAATATTAAGCAACCTAACTAATAGGGTTCCAACTCCCAGCAACAACAAAAATAAATAAATAAAAAATAGGGAACCACCCCTCACGCGCCACCTCATGATGCTTAATCGACGTAATCAACCTTAATTTGATGCAGTGTGAAAAAAAATGCACAGAAATCAATTATTTTTCAAGAAATATTAAATAGATTCAACATCTTTCTTCAACAAAATTGCAGACTGCACAGATGGTACCTTCCCAAAGGAAAAAGTACTATAGCTTATGAGGGTATATTAGACTTAATAGTTACTATATACAGTAATTGACTTCTATTCATTTTACATCAAATTAAAACTTTGGGTGTCAGATAATTATTTATTAAAAGCTAGACATTTTAAATGAGAATAAGAAAGAAAAATATGTCTTTTTGCCCCCTTTTCCCTGTTAATGCCCTATCGGCCCCCCTGGCTAAACTTTGCTAGATCCGCCCCTGCACAGTTACCAGCGTCAGCTACGTAGAAAAAGATCCTGGTTTAGAAAGTAATATTAAATAAATTCTAACAACAGCTGATCAAGCTTAAACGTGCTGCTGTTGTTCAGCCGCTGGTTTCCTCCTTCTGGTGCAAAGTCGGCCAAAATCAAACAAGAGAGACGGACTCGGGACAGAAAAGCCGATCAGCTGATCATTAAGCAGTTTCATGATTGAAGTAGCAGCAAGAAGAGGCAGTCGCTCCATATATCGTTTGTTAAGCTTAACGCAGGAATGCTTTACAAACATTCAGAGATGGACTTACACACTTGCTTTACTTCTCTCGGGGATAACTTTGTCGGAGATGAAATGCCGGGTTGCTAGCGAAGCTCCAAATGCTATCCAGACCACTGACAGGTTCCGCATGCCACAGCCGCTGTATCACGTGATGCATACTGCTCCGACGTGCTAACGTTCTGAGGTGAGTTACGGCGTGTCGCAAGTTTTGTGAGGTGCTTTCGTGATATTTAATGGATCGGATTACATTTTTTATTTTTCTCCGATATCCGATCCAGTAATTTAGGTCAGTATCGGACCGATACCGATACGTAATATCGGATCGGTCCATCTCTAGTTTTTATTATGAAAACTGTGGTGGTGGGAAAGAGTTTCTCTGTGACCTTTGTGGAAAAACTTCCAATCATCAACGGGACCTAAAACCACATCAACGTAGACACACTGGAGACAAAATGAACTACTGCAAAGAATGTGGAAGAGGCTTCCACACACCAAGTACATTAAAAATACACGAACTCTTCCACATTGGGGTCAAAAAGCACACCTGTGACTAGTGTGGGTCATCCTTCACCACTGCACGTGAGCTTAAAGAACAATCATAAGTGAATCCACACAAGAGAGACACCATGCAAGTGCAGACACTGTGACAAAAGCTTCTCACAATCAGGTCATCGTAACAAACATGAACGTACACACATGGAAGTGAACTTCAGCTTTGACCAGTGTGACAAGAGCTTCAGGAATCTCAGTTCATACTCCGAACACAAACGATCCCACACTGTAAATAAACAGTTTCACTGTTACCAATGTGCAAAAACATTCACTTCATTATCTGCTCTGTGCAAACATCAGCCTGATCATGCAGGACTGAAATCACTGGATCACAATGACTCTGAAGAGAGAGAAAGATCCTCTTCTGGTTTCAGAGTTGGACTTGAGATCAGGCTCCACAGAGTTCAGATGGAACGTGTAGTTTTTATTATGAAATCCTGATAATGTTAAAGCATTAGTTATATTTGATTAACTCTGTGTAAAGTTTGTCTTATTAAATAGTTTGGTGTGAAAAACAAAGAATTGGTCTCAGAACAAGTAGTTTGTTTCCGATTCAAACTAATTTAACTGTTTTCAGTGGTACATGTGGAGGTTTGTCAGAGGAGGAGACTCACACTGAACAGAGAGTATGTTTAAAATGCTTTGTGACTAACATCTCACACATTCCAATAAAGCTGTTGTTCCTTCATTGCAACAGCAGTTTGCAGATGTGTTGTGCACCTTCTTGAAATGCAGCCTGGCATGAAAGTGTGTCCATGGCCTAACAGGTTGCCTGAGCAGAAGAGACAAATTGTGAAAAAAGGAATTGGCTGAAATGGTGAAAATGCTGTTATCATAGGATGAAGTGAGGATTTGTTCCTCAGTGTTTGGTCTCCTATGCTTATCTGTTTGCCAGATGAGTTGTCCCAGGTTTTGAGAGGGGCCGGTTGTGTTTAAGGTACTTCAAGGTAATTAAGAAGTGAGCACATAGTTTTATACGGTTCTTTGATGATTGTCACAAAGTGAACAAGGTCTCATGGTTTGATGCTTATCTCATGTCCCCGGTTGACCTGGACTGTATAAGCACTGCTTGGTTTTTTATTATGCTACATTTAACCAATGCCTACTGGCAGATTCCCTTGTCTGCACAGTCCAAAGACAAAAACTGGTGATGGCCAGAGGGGCCGATGGCGTGTAATGGCAGCCTCGCAGTCAGTCTGCCCCAGGGCAGCTGTGGCTACAACTGTAGCTTACCTCCACCAGTGTGTGAATCTCAAAAGCACTGTATAAATGCATTTATTATTATTATTATTATTATTATTATCCATCCATCCATTCGCTTATCCTTTTCAGGGTCGCGGGGGGCGCTGCAGCCTATCCCAGCTGCCATAGGGCGAGAGGCGGGGTACACCCTGGACAGGTCGCCAGTCTGTCGCAGGGCCAACACACAGGGACAGACAACCATTCACACTCACATTCACTCGCACAGTCACACCTAGTGGCAATTTGGATTTTCCAATTAACCTATCCCCACAAGCTGCATGTCTTTGGACGGTGGGAGGAAGCCGGAGTACCCGGAGGGAACCCACGCAAACACGGGGAGAACATGCAAACTCCACACAGAAAGACCCCGGCCTGATGTTGGAATTGAACTCAGGACCTTCTTGCTGTGCGGCAACAGTGCTAACCATCGTGCCACCGTGCTGCCTCTATTATTATTATCATCAAAAACGTCTTTCTCCACTCTTTATGGTTTGTACCAATTTGTCACACTTCCGTTTGGCTTGTTTGAAGCCGCGGCCATTTTCCAGCACGTGCTGGAGTGACAGCTGCGTCCTCACACTGCTTATGCTGTTTCCTACCTCGATGATGTTGTCATTCATAGTGATTCATAGTGGTGGAGCATGTGCAGTGGTTGGTCACGGTCCCAGAGAACCTTAGGCAGGCAGGGCTTATGGCAAACCCAAAGAAGTGTATGGTTGGATGGAGGGAGGTACAGAATTTGGGTACAATTTGGGAGCTGGGCATGTGCATCCACACATGGATAAAACAGCAGCAATCACATCCTACCTATGTCCCAAGGCAAAAAAGAACATCCTGATAATAACCAATTGCAATAGTCCAGACTTGAAGTAATAAATGCATGAACGAGTTTTTCAGCATCACTCAGACAGGATATTTCTACTCTTAATAATATTGCAGAAATGGAAGAAAGTAAAGATTCATCGATTTGCTTCTGCTTATCCTTTTTGGGATCGCGAGGGCACTGGAGCCAATCCCAGCAGTCATAGGCCGAGAGACAAGAGTCTTTAATACTTGCTTAATATTTCCATTGATGAATGAATCTTGATTAAAGATTCCTCATAATGTTAATGGAGGCCAAGGTACTGCATCCAGAAGATGATAAAATCCTTATTTTGTTGATAAAATTGGCACAGAGTTTCTGCCATGCATTACCAAAGATTCACATCAAACTTATCCCATTCTTGGCTGCTTTAATGAAGATTTTTTTATTGTCACAGTTTGATACTGATGATTTCTTGTGAACACTCCTTTAGTTTGATCCCAGTGACAGTATCAATCAACGCAGTGACAGTATCTTCCTCGCTGGCTCCATATCTCTTTATAGAGTAATCAGTGGTTTGCTGTCTCTCACCATCAAAACACTACATAAATCCCACGTTTGACTTTCTTATAAATCACTGAATCAGTTACTTTCTAAATGAAGCTTCGAATGTCACTGATCACCTTCCTCTGGTTATACGAATCAAGCCTCGACACAGTGCTTCTGAAGCAATGTGTTGTTTTTTCTGACACACACACTGGAGCCTCAGGTTCAAGTTGGCCATCACTATTGTTGGCCACATGTCAGCAAAGTTATGTGACATCAGTGATGTTTATACTTTCTGCGTTAACTTGGTTTTAAAGCCTTGACTTTAAAATAGACACTGTTCAAAAGTTGATCTTAATCTTACAGAGAATATAATGATATTATGGATAATTAAAGTCAGTCATATATCCACAAACACATTAAGCTGAAAGTCAGTGAATGCTGCTCGGTTTGCAGTCCTGAATATCATGGCACAAGCAGGATTCACTGCACTGTTAATGTTAGCTATGTTATATTGCTGCCTCTGTTCGGTGGTCTCAAGCCAAACAAACTTTAACGTGTGTTTGAACGAGCTGATGGTTCACTCGT